AGCTGCTTTGCTTTAACGGGAACTGCCTGCAGTCGGCAGCTTAAGGGAGCTGTCTTAGCCCGATTAGGAGGAAATGACTAATCTCGGCATCTTCTCGTGGCACTGGCCTGGAGGCTCTGGGGAAGATAACCTGGTAGGGTGGGAAGTGGTTGGATAAATGGCGTTGGAGTGCTAGGCGATTAGTTGGAGTGCTAGGCGATTATCTCCTCAAAAATGGTCGTCCTGGCTTGGCATGGTTTGTGTTTGTTTTCCCTCTGTGGAAAGAGTGGGGTTCTCTTCAGTGGGCTCCCTGGCACTGAGAGGAGGTGTTCACTGTGAGGAGTGGAGTAGCAACAGATGTGCGGAGGAGTTGAGAACACATGATGACAATGGTATCCATCCCCCTTAGAGGAAGGAGAAGATTTGAGACCCTACAGGGTGGTCCCCACTTTGGCCTTCCATTCCTCTTTTCTTTAAAATATGATTTAAAGAGCCTAGATTTGAAGGAGAAATGATCGTTTCCTTGATCGTAAGATGCACTTAAAAATATCTTTTTTTTTTGAGGAAGATGAGCCCTGAGCTAACTACTGCCAGTCCTCCTCTTTTTGCTGAGGAAGCCTGGCCCTGAGCTAACATTGTGCCCATCTTCCTCTGCTTTATATGTGGCATGCCTACCACAGCATGGTGTGCCAAGCGGTGCCATGTCCGCACCCGGGATCCGAACCGGCAAACTCCGGGCCGCCAAGAAGCGGAACGTGCGAACTTAACTGCTGCTCCACTGGGCCGGCCCCTTAAAAATATCTTTTAATATGTCTGAGAAGTTTGGAAAAAAATGTCTCTAAGAATTGGGATATCTTATAATCAACAGCATCTTACAATATATAATGCAGTGTTTTTTTCTTTCTTAGTAGCTCATAAAAGAGTGGTGCATCTTATTATCCACGTTATTTGGGTTGGAAGTGTTAGCTGTTCATGGGAGAAAGGCTGTTGGTTAGGCCGGATGTGGAGGCCAGGGAACCTGCTCCTGAGCTGTGGTCGAAAAGAGAGTAAAGCAGGGGGTTGCCCCAGGTCTGAGGCAGGCTGCTGTGTAGGACAAGCAAAACTCAGCCCCAGGACATTTGGCACGAAGAAGCAGACAAGTAATGTGTAGGATCAGATCAAAGTCTGTCCCAGTCGTGACCCCCAGACATTACATGTGACCCCTGAGTCGGAGAAGGGAGAAAAAAAAGCCATTGCAAGTCAGCCAGGCTATGACCAAAATAACAGCAGGTCTGATGGAGTTCTGAAATCCCAGTGTGGTGCTGAGGCATTCGGTGCTTTCACACACAAAAGAGATTAGAGGTGTTAGAGACTTTCTGTGTGGGCAGGGAGTTGGAGTGTTTATTGCAATCCTTTGTCCGATTTCCTCACCAATTCCAGAATGCCAGAGGAGGTCTTTCCTCCCTTGAAACCGGAAGGCCATGGTTTGGGCACCAACAGAAGAAGGACAGATAGTCAAGTTAAGGAACCTACTGCCCTGAGATAAGAAGTAGACCGAAAGTCTAATTTTGTTGAAGAAGCTCTTCCTGTTCGGGGAGAGGTGAAGCAGTGTGTTCAGTGCCAGGCTGGGGGTGGCTGCAGAGCGCGGAGCTCTGAGGCTTCAGAGAGCCTCGGAGGTGATGGCATCAACGCTGCATGGATCTCAGGATCAACCAGGCAGCATATTCCGGGCCATCGGAGGAAGCGCCTCCAGCCTGGTGCTTCACAAGCCGATGCCCCCGACTCCTGTCCCGGCCTCCTCTGATCGTGGGCTGGGCCCTGGCTTGGCTGGGCCTTGTTCCACCCGTCCATGGAGGTGGGGTGTAGTTATTGGTCCCTGCCTCTGTCTCTGGCTTCCTCCACCCCCAGCTCTGGCGATAACTGCCCCTTTATCCGACTGACCCAGAGCTCCAAAACAGGTTTTCATTTCCCATTTTCTGCCCATTACCTGCAGCCTATTAATTAGTGCCGTTGGACTCCCCGCTCTCATACGCTCCCCTCACTAATCATGCCTCCCCTCTGCAGCTTTTACTAAACATGTGACCATTCCCCAATGTGGCTGCCCCTCCCTGAGACGTGATTACAGATCTTGGCTATGTGGACCCCCTGCTCCAGCTGCCCCAGTGGCCACCGCTTGGCCGGCTGCTTTATCTTGATTAGCCCCTAAATTCTCCCCTCCCTCCTACCCCCCATGTCTTCCACCTGACATTGCCAGGGCCTGGCATTGGCTGCAGGTTAACATCTCCCTAGAGAGGGAGCTCTCTTCTCGCACTGCTCTGGGTCACGGAGAACAGTGCTATGGGCCCAGAGGGACTGAGGTGATCCCCTCTCCTGAGCCAGCGGAGTCTCCCTTCAAAACCGCAATCAGCTTGTTCCAGATCGCTTGACCTCATTATAGATCCGAGGTCACAGATTTTGCTCTGTGCTGCCTCTTAAACCGTCAGCCTCTGATGGCTGCTCCTCTTTTGTTTACATAGCTTTTCTATGATATTCCAGATGCTTGAAGCCCTGCTTCTTTTCACCCCTTTATACCCACCCAGCCTCCTTACCCTCATTCCCTGAATCTCCCCCACACCAGCTCCTGGCCATGATCACTGCAATCCTCTACTTCTCTGCTCTGAGGAGGTCCTTTCTCTTTCTTGGGTTTGATTCTTGACTCCTCTTTCCTCTGGGATCCTCCTCCCTCAACACACACACACACATACTCTGTCTCTCTCCTTTGCTAAGCTAAGCCTAGGGTATGGGGAGGAAGCAATCCCTTCTTTAGTAAGAGCCTGGCCAAGTTAGAAACTGCAGGGGAAGCAGCTGAGCTCATTGGCAGAGGGAATGGCAATCTACCACGATGATGGGAAAAACAGCTGCCACCGATGGAGAGCTGGCTGTGTCAGGCGCAGCGCTAAACACATACATCCTCTGTAGTTCTTCAAGGCCCTTGTGAACAGACCCCATTTTCTAGATGAAGAAAGTGAGGCTTAGGATCCTTAAGAAACTTGCTCAAGTTCACAAGGCCAATAAGTGCCTGAGCCCCTGTTTAGACTCTTTAAACCTTTTCAACCGCTGTTCTACCTTTAGTAGCCTTTTTCCTTTTTAACCTTGGGGTGCAGAATCCTTTAGCTCAAAGTGATTTTCCTTGGAAAGTGAAAGTCTCTGGATCATGTTCTTGTTCCTCCTCTCCTCTCAGTCCGAGGAGCCCAAATGTGTCCCAGAGCCCTTCGTGGGCTCTCCCCCTTGCGCAGTGTGGTCCCAGATTAGACCTGTCCTCTTTACACCCGGAGGTGGCAGTGGGGGTGGGAAGCGAGAGGGGCTTCCTGCCAGCCAATGGGGAAGCGACAGCCTAGCTCTGTGCTCGCATCATCTGCTCCTGCTAAGACAATCATCAACATAAAAGGCTAATTGTATTAATCACCAGGGCACCCGTCCTGAGTCCCCCTCCCTTTTGGGAGAATTATGAATTGCAATTGCAGATGGCTCTGCTGATTGAAGGCAGTGCTCAGCAGGGAGAAGGGCCAGATCAGATTACACACCATTAATTAAAAACTTCCCCTGACAAACGGGAGGAAGGGAGGGAACACCAAGGGTCTGCCTGGTTGGGTCTCTGTCCTCCCCTTGCACCCACCTGCCCAGTCCCCCACCCCAGGCCCAGGGGCTGTGACTGTGAAGCCCACTGCCCGTGGCTGGAACCGCTGAGATTTGGCTCCCTGAAGGCCAGCCCTTCTCTCATCTAGACAGATGGCCGGCTGTCCTATTAAAGGGCTCCAGAGAAGGAGAAGCTAACCTTTGGTTACTCATTCCTCTGTCTAACTGGATGCTCTTCAGATTCTAACCTAATTCCTCTCTTCTCCTGAAGCTCGTGTCCTCTTGCTCCAGTCTATTCTGAGCACAGCTTTAAAGAACTGTTTGTGAAAATAGCCCCCAGCTTTCTCTTCAGGCACTCACCCTTCCCCTCTTGGCCTGGAAGGTCCTGGGACAGAGGGTCCACAATCTGGAGTAGTGGGTGGGGTCTCAAATGTGGCTGGCTGGGTACCTGTAAGCACAGGCTCCTCAGCTGCCGTCATCTTGGCTCATTTGGAGCTGTAACTCCTGAATTCTCCTCTTGATCGATGACTGCTTCTCCTCCCTCCCCAGCGCCCAGCCTCAGTCATTCATTCATCAAACTTTTATTGAGCACCCAGTATGTGTTTGGCTCGGAGACACGGAGATAATTTGTCTAGGAGCTTAAGAGCCTACCGCAGGAGCGCCAGCCCCCCTGCCCTCTTCAACCTTCTAGTTCCTGCTTGCTTCCTTCCTCCGGCTGCAGCTTGTCTCAGGCCCCCTGGAGCTCTATTCTGGAAAACTCTAAGCTGGGAGCTGGGGAGACCTTAGGGGGCTGTGGTACTGAGCTGGGTGACCTTTAGCAAGTCAATCACATCCTACACACGCACACACACACACACAGCTGGCCCTCCTCGTAAAAGGGCACAAGAAGCCCAGGGCTCTGAGAGATTGTGAAGACGGATGAGTGGGGCCCAGCTTGGAGAGATGTGAATAGTACTTTGCACTGACAATATTACAGGATGCTGAGCATGGCTGCTGTGGTCACGAGCCCTGGGGACTCAGCTCCTGGGCTGGTCACGGGCTGGGTCCTGTCACCCTGCCCTTGGGAGACTTTGGCAGCCCCTCCCCTATTCCTAGCCCCTTTGGAGACATCATGGAAAAGGACCTATCGTTTTTATGGATTTGGTTGCTGCATCTCAGGGTACCATGGTGATGGGCACCATAGAGATGAGAAGAACTGTCTTATTGGCTTGTCTCTTCATTCCAGGATCCCTTCCCAACCCCCCTCCACATATGCTCGCAAATCTCCCAGGTCAGTAGACCCAGGAGAGGAGGCAGGGCCTCTGGTAAGTGGAGCAGATGAAACGAGAAAAACCTCCTCTCTTTTCCATCCCTCTCAATCATCTCCCTCTTTTCCTTCTTCCCTCCTCCCTCCCATTACCAACAGCAATTGTATTCAAACCCAATAATTACAGTAACGGCAACAATAATCATCATTTATTGGCTTTGTTTTCTAGCATTTTAACTTCCAAAAACATTTTCAAATGTCTGGTTTGTTTTCACAGCAGTCCCTGGGAGAGGACTGTGCCCATTGTACAGCTGGGAAGCTGAGATCCAGATAGGACCAGTCATGGGGAGAGTAGATTTACAGTGGCTTGTAAAGATTAACAAACCAGTTGAGACTTGAGTCCCTCAGAGGCACGGAACTGCGAATCTTGGGTTCCTGGGTCATTCCTAAGTTCCTACCATCCCTTGGAATGACCCATCCTTGGGACTTCTTCAACAGCTTTTGGGGGATCCCGGCAGAGCTGAGAATGAGGCTGGAGATGTCTTCTGGCCCGGGTCATGGACTGAGGGCTGGGATGGAGGCTTCCCTCTCAAGATTGTTCCTGTGAATGGGGCTGTGGGGTGGAAGGTGGGCAAACATCTGGGGAGAGCCCACCCTGGCAAAGGTCTCTCTGGCCCAAACTTCCCTTGCCTATAGCCTGCCCCTCTGCCAGCCGGAGAACAGGTTCCTGTCTGTGTCAGTTCTTCCCAAGGAGGGGTCCTCTCCTGAGCATTTGGAGGAGTGAGGGATTAAGATTTATAGGGAGGGCAATCTCTGTCCTCAGGAAGCCCCTCAGTCTTGCTGGGGGAGGGGGTGCTGGTGGTGCATAGGACTTCAGAGGCTGTTCCAGGGCCTGATTCTTCTGGGAATTCTGGTCCCTCTTCCCCAAGGGTGAGGTGAGAAGCTGGGGTTCCCTGAGGTCCGTCCCTATAGCTCTCAGTCTCTAAGCAGAGTGGCCATCAGGGCTCCAATTCCCTTTTTTCCAAGACATGAGGATCCGGAGGCCCAGGACCCCACTGGTCTCCAGACGGGTGAGAGAAGGGGAGGGCGATCAGGAATTCCCCTGCCTCCCTCTGCTGTCTCCCATTAAGAGATGGAGGAGGAGCAAACTGCACAGATTTGCTCCGCACATCCTTACTACCTAGAAATGTAATGCCAGGATAGGGATTGGCATCCCCTGCCCACCCCGTCAGGACAAAAGGCCAAGCCTCCCCCTCCCCTCTTGCAAGCAGCACCCCCCCACCCATTCGTCCTGCCCTTCCCCCCAAACCTGAAGTGGGGTCATACAAAGCATGCTGCCCACCTTCAGGGCTCCTCTCAGAAGCCTGAGGGCGGGGGCCAAGTTCTATGCCATCTGACCCACACTCTCCATTTCAGTGTCCCTTGAATTGGACTCAGATTCTCTCTTCTGGGGCTCTACCCCTGCCACTTTCTCCACCTCTGCGGTGCCCTTGAGGATGGCCAGTCGCTGAGCCAGGGTCTTGGTGTCAGGGAACAGGATAAAGTTGTAGATCAGTGAAGCCAGGACAGCCCCTGTTAGGGGTCCCACCCAGAAGATCTGAGGAGGCAAAGAGAGTGGGCACCGAGCTTGTGATCTTTCAGGTCATAGGGTGGCTTTGGGGCCCCTGTCTGCTTCCCTAGTGTTGACTTGGTCTGCCAGGAAGCCTCGAGCTACCTGCAAGGTGGCAAATTTGAGAAGCATGAGTCCTGTCCCCCGAGTTCATGCAGGCGAGGGGACCTTGTTTCCCTCGGGGCAGGCCTGGTCTCCTCACCATTCCTGCCTCCCTCCTCTCACCTCCCCTGCTCCAGCCAGGAGCCCTGGCTAGTGCTCTTCCTGTCTCTGCTGGTGTGTGTGTGTCTATTTTTGTTGGTCTTTTTCTTTATCCAAGTTTGGAAATTGGTCCAGCTGGAGAAAGTGAATAAGGAAACAGTCAGGACTCGAGGTCTGGGCCAAGGCTGCTGCTCCCACCTTGGTCAGTCCACTGGTACCCTGGGCTATTGAAACTGCAGAAAAAGGAAGCACCAGCCAGGGTACTTGGCCTGGTCTTCTGAGCTGAGGGAAACCTCCATTGGGGGTCAGATGGTCTGTGGTAGAGGGACTGGTCTCCCCACTGAGTGAAAGCCACAGCCCCTACCCGCTACTTAGACCTCTCCCTTCCCCAGGGCTGCCAGCAGGGGGTCTCACCCAGTGGACTGTGAATTTCCCCACGATGACGGCAGGACCAAAGGAGCGGGCTGGGTTCATGGAGCAGCCGGTGAAGTAGATCTGGGGAGCAAGTGCAAGTTCAGGGTGTGAGGAGACTTAAGGCAGGCCTGGGAGGGGATGGTCCCCTCTGCCCTGGCTCAGAGCCCTGGCCCCAGCCTCAGCCTCTGCAGCACATATCCTGGGCCTGGAGTGTGGGGCACAGCCTCAGCTCCAGCCCCAAGGTATGAGGGCTCAGAGGAGGTACTTGCTGGCCTTCAGGGCCCCAGTAGCCTCCCCAGGGAGGGACCAGTGAGTGCACAGTGTCCTCTTTGCCTCTTACCCCAATGAGGTGGCCCACTGCCATAGAGGCTGCAATCACGGTGGCCGGGGACCCTGAGGCCTGACGGCTGTCCGTGGAAGCAAAGACACAGAGCACCATCTGCAGGGTCAGAACCACCTCCACTGCCACCGCTTGGCCGGTCGAGATGCTGTCCCGGACCTGGGAGAGGGGGTTACACTGGAGCCAATGGAGGCTCTGCCAGGGGATGGTGACCCCCTGCGCCTCATTTCCTCACTGTAAGGGGGTGACATCTCACCAGTGCCAGTTCCGAGTCTTAAGGAGATGATGGACTGGGGAGAGCTGTGTGGTGGGGTTTGGGTCAGCCCACTTGCTCCCTGCAGAAGTGAGTGGCACCCCTCCCACCCCCCTGGTTGGCTGGGGCCAGTGATTCAGAGGGGAGGCAGGGGCACAGGACTGGTGGGAAAGGGAAGGCTTGGAGAGGCTGGAGTGCATGTTTGCCAATAGTCTGGGAGGAGACCGTGGGTCACAGCGGAAGGAGGAGACTTGAGGAAGCAGGTGGAACATAGATGATACAGGGAATCTGGGGAGTGCGGTGAGAGAGGCCTCAGGGCGCTGGGAAGGGACGACCACAGGGAGAAGATGAAGTGTGCGCAGGGTTCCTGCCACTACTCACAGCCCCAGCCCTCCCTGGCTGCCATGACCCTTAAATGCCTGGGCTTCCTCCAATTTGTGCCCCTTAGTGTGGCTTCTCCCTGCCCCACCTGGTCCTCACACTAGGTCCTAGTCCCATTCCTTTTCCTCCTGCACTGAGGCCACAGTCTTGTTCCCCTGGGTCCCAGGGCCCAGCCCAGAGCAGGTGTGGAGCATGTGGCCAAGTTGTTACCTCCCTGTCCCCTCTCCTCAGGCTTGGCACTCCACCCTTACCACCTGTTTAGACACCCCCTCCTGGACCTCCCCCATACCCCTCCCCACACCTACCATGTTGACCCCAAGGGTCTCTCGGATATCCCATGGCGTTACCCCATAAAGCAGAGCAGCTCCCACTGTGGCTCCAGCCAGCTGGGCAGCCACATAGGCCACAGCACGGGGCAGGGAGATCTGGGAGCCCACGAGGAAAGCCAGCGTCACAGCAGGGTTGACGTGGGCCCCGCTGACCTTCCAAGTGACCTGCACAGCCATGGCCGTGGCCATGTTGATGGTGATGGCGACCTGCAGCACTGAGGGAAGTGCTGAGGGCCAGCGCAGAGCTGAGCCCACGCCAAAGAACACGTAGAGCCCTGTGGCCAGGAACTCAGCAAACAGCGCCTTGCTGATGGCCGTCCAGAACCGGCACGGCAGCATCTTGGGCAAGCAGCATCTGCCTGGCTCCATTGTGTCCAGGTCCTGGTACCCAGCTGTTGCCTCCTTTGCTCCCAGGACCTCTCTCTGCTTCTCCTGCCTCTGATCTCCTCTGTCTCCTCTGGTCTCTTCTCTCTGGCCTGCTCTGGCCGTCTTACTGCCTAGAGGCTTCTCTGGCCCCAACCTGTAGCTCGTCCACCACGCTGCTGCCCCAAGCACTGTGCTGGTCAGACTGCCAGGGAGTGGGATGAGGGGGTTATGTGTATCTCGGTGGGTGGGAGGTGTTGCGGTGGCATGAGGAGTGGTGCTCACATGCCTGTTCCACCCTGAGCTCACCTGACAGCTAGGGGAGGAGGGCGGTCCCCCAGGTGGGCGCTGAGCTGGAAACTTTCAGGTTTCCAAGCTGGATAGGCCTAACTTTGCTGTGCGCAGAGGCCCAGCCTGGGGGCCGCAGGCACGGGAGTAGTGGTGGGCGTGGGATTCCAGAGCCCTCACATCCCCAGTGTCAGCTTAGGTAGAGCAAGATCACTTAGATACCCTAAGTCCAAGGCCTGCTTCGGAGGGTCCTGTACATTTCTGGGGGGCTCCTGGCCCCCTCTGCCTGTAGGCTCTGCCTCCAAATGTGCTCATACTATTCTGTGCCCCGTAAGCCCAGATGTGCACTGAAGCTGCCTCCCCCATTCCCACCTAAAACCCCACTCCCAGAAAGCAGATGGGAATAGAGTCAACTTTACTAAGGTCGTGGGCCTGCGTGGAGCAGAGGGGGCACACGGAGGAGGGGTTTACGCCACAGCTAGTCAGATGGCACACGTGGCAGTGGGCACCTCTGCCAGCTGGGAATTTCCACTGGCCCTTCACCCACTTCTTCCTGTCCTCCTCCTCCCTTCTCACCCCCTCTCCACTCCATTCTCTGCTCTCCTCCTTCTCCGGGACCAAAACAGTTCCTTCCATGTCTCACTCAGGGCAGCTTAACCATTTCTGCGGCTATGCTGCCCTGAAGTCACCGCCCCCACTCCCCCCAGGCTCTGCCCTTTAACTCCCAGCAGCGTATCAAGCTATTTTCTCAAACTAAGGAGCTCCCTCCCAAAGAAGAACCTGCCTTGTTGTTAAAATAATAGTCTTCACCTCTTAATCACATCTGGGTGCCCTGTTCTCACCCCTGGCCGTATCCTCCTGCCCAGTGGATGTTCCCTGCTTGTCCTCGGGCTCCTCACACATAACCTGTCTCAAAATGAGATCCTCATGTCTCCTCGCACCCCCAAATGCACTCCTGTTTTCTCCAGCTCAGCTGATGGCACCTGGGAGGCATCCTGGACCCTTCTTTCCTCCCTGCCCCCATCCAGCAAAGGCATCAAGTCCTGCAGATTTTGAATCCTAAATATCTTTTGGCTGTGCCCTCTTCTTGCCACCCCTCTGCCCTGCAGCCTTTAACCACTCTCTCCGCCTGCTCCCTTGCTCCGCTCCAATCAATTATCCACGCAGCAGCCCAGTGATCTTTCTAAAATGCAAATCTGATCCTGCCGCTCCTCCGCTAAAATCCCTTCAAAGCGTCCTGTCCCCTCTGTGAGCTCTCTGCCTGGCCCTCTGGGATCCTGTTCCTCTTATCTTTCTTCTCTGTACTCCTTGCCTTGTCCTTTACCCTCCGGCCTCACCAAGTGGCCAGTGGTTCTGGAACACTCTATGCTGGTCTCTCCTTGAGAGAATGCTCTGTCCTCTCCTTGGAGAGCCCTTCCCATGTCCTTTGCTTGGGTAACTCCTAACCCATCCCTAAGACTCAGCTTTGCTGTCACCTCCTCTTTTCCTGGGTGAGGCCCCCTCTGTGTGCTCCCGCCACACCTGGGTGTTTTCGTACAGTACAGTCACCGTATAATGTGTCATGGTGTGAATCTGTCTCCCCAATGAGGCAGTGAGCCCCACAGGGGGCAGGAACCAAGTTTTGTTCATCCCTACGTGTATTTTGCACAGGAATTGGCCATAGTAGGTGCTTAATGAATATTTGTTGAATGAGTGAATGAGTGAGTAGCTCTTTGACCTGTTGGAGGCAGGTGACTTTCATGTCTGCTTCATTTCAGCTGGCTATTCTTACTCGCCCTCACCTGGACTAGGCCCTCTGACATCTTCAAGTGAGACATCCAGCTCTGATCACAGGCTCTGCATCCACCCTCTTTTGTCTCAGTCTCAGTCAAATCCCTTCCCCATCCCCTTTCGGTTCTTCCAGCTACCCTGGCTTCACTCTTCCCTCTCCAGCCAGATCCCCTAGCATCTCACCTCAGTGCCCCCTGTCGCAGTTCCCTGCTCTCTCCACCCCACCCGCCACATCTGTCCATTCTCATTCTCCTCCACACCCCTCCACCCCTCATCTGCGCTGTTGAGCACTGCTGGAGAAACTCGCCCAGCCATGCAGACTGCTGCCATAAGTCCACGGTCTCCGGCCCCAGCAGGGGCGGCGGCTCTGCTCAGCATCCTTACACCACCCCAGTTGACTCTCTCCCCAGCTTCTAAGGCCTACTTCAAACCTTCCCCACCCTCTGCAAGTACCCTACTCACTCTGGCTTTCTTCCAGCAGATCACCTTGTCTCCTGTCCCACTTAGAAAGCAAAACCAGCAGGGAAGAGTTCTTCCCATCCTTCCTCCCCAGTCACAAACTCACCTGCAGCTGCCCCATGCCCTTCCCAGTTCCCTCTGGCCTGAAGAAGAGGCAGCCCTTCTGCGTCTGAGTCAATGGCCCGGCTCTGCGCTTTTTGAGTTCCCAGGGCCATCTTTTGGCCGTTCCCAGTCTCAACTGTGCTTTTCACCCCTCTCTCTCCTGGTTTCTTCTTTATAAAGTGCCTGGGAAATCATGCAGTAGTGGAGAGACCATGGGTTTGGAATGCCTTTCCTCTTTGTCTCTCTTTCAAGACTTTGCTCAAGTCTGGTTCCTCTAAGAAGCCTGTCCTGATTTTCCTCTCCAGCAGAATCAGGGCAAGCTTCGTAGAGTTGGGCTCAAGCAAAGCCAGCAGCTCTTCTGGCTTCGGCCTCCTCAGTGCCTCCACTGTTCCAGCGCAGACTCCCGTGCTTGGCTGGCATAAAGGAGTCTTTCAATAGATGCTCAAGGAATGAAGCAATGTGACTGTGGGGGCAGTGTGGGTGACATTCCTCCCTGGCACGGTGGGTTCCCTGCTTAGGGGTCATCCTAAGGAAACTCAAGGGCATCTCTCTCCTTCCCGCCCCTCAGATCAGGCCATAGAGGGCTTTGGGACAGACACTTACCAGTCCCTACATGTGATCTAGCCTCAGTTTCTGCACCTGTACACCAGGCACCAAACAGCAGTGATGCCTCTCTGTTGAGAGCCTTTGATCAGACAATACAAGTGAAAGCATTTGAACACTGCTGTGTATATACTGCTCCCCTGGCCAGTGCTTAACTTCTGTGGCCTCAGTTTCCCCACTTATAAAATGGAGATGATCATTCCCACTTCCCCACGTGTTGTTAGAGCATATGTGCTGATACCTGGGGTGGTGCCTCTGAGTCAGAAAATGTTGGTTGTTAGAATTGCCATTCCCCTCCCCTCTCCAGTGAGACAGCTGTGAGGCCTGGGCTGGGGCAGGAAGGGTCCTAGTTGCTGTGGCAGCTCTAGGACAAGCAGCACCTGTGGCACGTGCTCTGGGCCTGGGAGGCTGAGACCACTAAGCACAGCGACAGCCCTTGTCTCCAGTGGGCCTGGAGCAGAGCGTCCTGAGGCCCTGCCTGATGTGGGATGAGGTCCTTCACCTCCTGAGGCCAGGTGGGAATTGGCTGGGCCTTGCTTCAGCTCCACCCGTCACCTCCCTGGACCCAGCAGTCCTAGGCTCTAGTGCCACACTTTTTTCAAGTCCAATGCTCAGAGGCCTTTGGCCAAGCCCCCACACCTGGCTGCCTACAGCTGCCTGTCAGCTGGCTGTGTGCTCCTAACCTCCCAGAGGCCTGTCCCTGGGCTCCCCAGACTACTGGGGTGGGCATCTCCATGAGGCGGTGTGTGTGTGCGCATGTGCGTGTGCACCAGGGGCAATGTGAGCTCTGACTGAGGTCCTCTCAGGGCTTGGGGAAGGGAGGGGGAACAAGAGGGAGGGGAAGGAGAAGGAACTGGGAGAGAAGAGGAGGACAACAAAACCATGACAGAAAGGGAAGGACTCAAGTCAGTTTCCCTTACATCCCCTCACTCATCCCCACAGAAAGTGGAAGGGTAAGGAGGTCTGATATCCTCATCCACACCTGAGGAGGTGGAGGCTGCGGCTCAGAGAGGGGCGGAGAGAGCTGACCCTCCCAGAAACGCTCCTGCTGCCCATCCCTCTAGACAGCCAACCCTCCTCTGTTCCCTGCCTTTACCCCAGGCCTCCTCCATCTCTCCATCATGTGGTGAAAACTGGCAGCCCCTGGGCAAAGGGGGAGAAGAGGAGGAATTCTCCTATGGAACAATCAAAGCTCTTCCTGGGTTCGGTCTTCAGGTGGAGCAGAGGGTCAGAGGGTGTCAGCACCTGTCTGCTTGTATGTGAGGCGCACGCGTGCCTCTCCGAGAGCACCTGGAGCCAGCCTTTTAGGTCTGGTCCCCAGCAGCCCTTTGAGGGAGAACGGGGTGGGGAGGGAGGGTTGACGTGGCTCTGCGCTCACACGGAGGGAGCAGTCTATGCCGAGAAGACGCAGCCCTTCGGGTACACAAAGGTCAGTATAGACGTGCAGGCTTAGTGTGTGCGCACTGCTGTGCGCGCGGGTCTTTGTGAGCCGGACCGAGTGCGCGCGAAGATCAGATTCCAAGGGGCACAGCGCCCTCTGCCGGCCCAGCAGCCCGACCTGTCAGCCCACAGCCTGAGGTGGACCCTCGCCCTCTGGCCGGCCCTCTGCCTGCCTGGCCATCCTCACCCGCACCCCCAGGCAGAGGGTCTGTCTCTCCTAGGCCCCCCGTTCCCCCTTGGCGCGTGTCAGAGAAAGGAAACGCCAGGTGCTGGGCTGGGGGGAGAGGCCAGGCTTCCAGTCATGGCTGTGCCTGTACCTGAGTCTTCTGGAGACTGAGGTCTCTTCTGCACCCCCTCCCAGAGAGGCGCGTGGGGTGGACTGGGGATCGCTGGCCTGCAAGCTTCCCGCGTCCTCCGCCCCACGCCCCATCTGGCTAGAGTCCAGCCGCAGGTCTCGGGGAAGAGGAAGCGCAGCGGCGGTGGATTCAGCGGACGAGGTCCCCCCCTGCTGGTCGGAGCTGGCCCTGGCGGCCGGGGTGGGTGGGGGGGCGGTGGAGCGGGTGGAGGGGGTGGGGGCGGTGGGGGCGGTGGGGGCGGTGGCGGCGGGTGGAGCCCTGAGGGTCTCACACACACTGCCCCTCGGGTTTCCCTGTAAGCCCAGTAGGCGGGCAGGGCAGGGGTGGTGGCAGCTGCCATTACAGATGCTAGATGCGAGTCTGGGGAAGACTAGGGAGTCGGCCCCTGCTCCCCCGCAGCCCCTGGTGCTGACCCTGTCCCCCAGGGTGTGTAGCTTCTCCACCCCTTCTCAGTCCATCTCCTGACCCCTCGTCTTGTGAGGCATAGCTGAAGACCACCAGGAGAGGTTCCCATACTTAGGAGAGGCGGGAGCTCAGGTTCAAACACTCTCAGGAGAGCAGAGGCCCAGAACTGGGGTGTGGCTGGGGTCCCCCATGTGCACATGCTGGTTATTTTTCTCACACTATTAGTTTATTGAGCACTCACTCTGAGGCGCCTGGCCCTGCTTGCACAAGGGTTTTACTTCCACCCACTGTCTCATTTTATCCTCACAACAACCCAGGAGGTGGGTACAAGTATCCCCATTTTACAGATGAGGTCATTAAAGCTCAGAGAGCTTATGTTACCCAAAGTTGCACAGCAAGATTTGACCTTGGGTTATCCGGTTCCAAGCCAGGCTCCTTAACTATGACACAGGGCTGTGTCCTGAGCTGCTCATGATGACTTCCGCCCTTTTCCCCATAGAGAGCAGACTGGTCCCAGGAATCGCACTCCCTCACCTCCTCCGATCCCCACAACAACCCTGTGAAGGAAGCATTTTCTATCCTCATTTTATAGCTCAAGAGATGGAGGCCTGGCGAGTTAAGGAGGTTTCCTGAGGAATGTCAGTGGCAAGGGGACAAGAGCAGGTGGAGGCAGAGCTACAGGCCCAGAGGGGAAGAAGGCGGAACACTGACCGGCAGAGGCAGGGGAGAAGAGACCTAAAAGGAGCAGGGCCGCTGGGCCAGGTGTCGCTTCTGGGGATGTGTGTGTGTATGTGGGGGGTGGGGGGAGCAGGGGGTTGGTCCCTCTCAGCACAGGCTCCCAACAGGGCACCTTTTTGGAACATCACAGTGCAGAGAGGGGAGTCCTGGGCTGTGCCTCCTCCCCGATGACAGACCTGGCAGGTCACCCCCTTGGCATCTCAAGGGGCTGCTAGCTGGTTCACTTCACCTCCACCCTGCCTGGCACACCCTGGCACTGGTGCCAGGCCCTCCTCAAGTGGCAGGGACTTGACATAGCTAAGGTGGGAGGGGCAAGCAGGCAAGTGACTCAGTGAGGCCCCCTCCTTCTCTGCTCCCACTGCCCGCTCCTAACCTCTGGCTCTATTCCTATATTAGAACTCTAGAGCTATAGGTCTCCCCTCTCTCTCCCCACCCCCATCTCTGACTCTCTAGGCCTTCCCTGGCCTCAGCTTCCCTGTCTTTCCACAGAGGACTGTGGAGACCATGGGGGAGGGTGTGGGATGACAAAGAGGAGAGGCGATGTGCCAGTGTCCCAAGGAGAGGTTTCTGGGGAGAGACGAGGCCAAGCATGAATGTCAGTGGTTTATTGGGAAGCCTCCACCCCAAACACCGGCAGCTCTACTCCATGCATCCTTGACCAGACATAAATAAGGCAGCATTTAATGAACCAGTCCGTCTCCCTCCTAAGGAGCTCTGGGGAGGGTCAGCCTCTGCTGTCTTAGGGCCTGGGATCCCTCTGGTTCTTGAGGAGGGGCTGGGAAGGGTGGGGCGATGCAGACTGCAGGCCACCCCTTCCTGGCTTGGTCCTGGGGCAGCCTGCGGGCTTAGGTTCACAGTCTCTAAGGTCTGACCTCATGGCAGCTGTCTGCCTTGTCCCAGAGAGACCCCTCCCCACCAGATTCCAGCCCCTAGCTCCCACCCCAAGAGTACCATCATGGGTTCCTGCTCCCATCTCTAACTGTGTAGCCTGGGGAACCAGCACCTCCTCCCCAGCCCAGAGGACCCAACTGTGGGGTAAGGAAGCTTTGCTGTCATATTTTTTTCTTTTTTCCCCTGCGGTTCAGGGGCTGAGGAGCTGGCCTCTGCCTGACACTGGTCAGTGAGCGGTCAGCTCCATGGTCTTCTTCCGCTCCTCCCGCTGCTCCTCCCAATCCTCCTCAGGCTCATACGTGCCCTTGACGATGGCCACACGCTCACTCAGGCTCAACGAGTTGGGGAAGAGCAGGTAGAAGTAGAGGATGGCAGCCAGGGCAGCCCCCACGATGGGCCCCACCCAGAAGACCTGGTGGAGACAGAACAGCATCAGCCGGCTGAGCCCCAGGCCTCACAGACCAAGACCTCCCCCCTCCAGAGGACAGACCCGTGGACCCTCAGAGGAGATGGACATACAAACTTCCAGACCTCCAGTGGGAAAGACTTCCTCACACCTCAGGGACAGATATACTGACACCCCACTCCCCAATGACAGGGACATGGACCACAGACACCCAGATCCCCAGAGGGACAGAGCTCCTCCAACTTTACCCTAAAGAAAGACAAATGCACCTTCAGAGGGAACAGACATATAGATCCTCAGAGACAAACAGAACTCCTCTCCCTTCCACAGAGGGATACAGACAGACTCTAGGAGGTGACAGACAGATTGCCCAGAGGGACAGACCCACATGAAGGAAGACACTCCAAACCCCCTCAATGGGGAAAGATAAATAAAACGTCAGAGAGGACAGACACACAGACCCCAGAGGGACAGAGACAAATCCTCAGAGGAGATCAACACAGAGGTATAGATCCCTTTCCTTAGAGGGACAGATACACATGATCCTCCCCAACCCCCGAGTAGGGTCCCCTGTTCCCAGGGGCTCAGGCCACATAAATGAACCCCTGCCCTTGTTCTGGCTTCATCCTGTCTCCTACTGTGTCCGCTTCTCTCTCCAGCCACCACTCCTGGGGCCTACTATCAAGGTCTGGGTCCACAGCCTCCAGAAAGTCCAGTTAGCTCTTGGCTGCCACGGCAGGGTTTCTAGGCCCTCATTGCCAGGGAGCCAGGCGAGGGCCCAGACTCACCCAGTGCGCGGAGCTGAACCGCTTCATGATCACCGCGGGGCCGAAAGAGCGGGCTGGGTTCATGGAGCAGCCGGTGAAGTGGATCTGGACAGAAAGAGGGAGGTGAGGAGGGCAACGTGCTTATCCACTCCCACAGGGCCCTGGGCTCTCGCTGGGTCACCCAGCAGTTCAAGGGCTCACACAGGTCTCCAACTCAAGTCTCCTGATTCCTAGGCTGGTGACCTTTCCTCCCACACGTCCCGACTCACCCCTCCTCTCTTCTCTGTCCTGAGCTTGGGCTTGCTTACCTGCCCTCACCCCAGCTCCCACTTACTCCCAACCTTCCTCAGGCTAGAGAAGGTTTTGGGGGATCAAGTCTGGCCAGAGTATAGCAGCCCTACTCCAGGTCTTAACTTTGGGGCTCAATGGTCAGCAGGGGTGCTGCTCCAGGGCCCCATTATTTGCCCGGAGGGGGCTCCCCACCCAAGCTGTGTGGCAGCACCGCTCACCCCCAAAAGGTGGCCCAGTGTGACGGACAGGCCAATGGACAGGGCCGGGGAGCCCACAGGGCTGGTGCGGCGGGAGTCGGTGGAGGAGAAGATGCAGAGCGCCAGCTGGAAGGTCAGGATCAGCTCCACCACCATGGCCTGGCCTGGCGTCGTGTTGCTGTTGAGCTGCAAGGGGAGAATGGGTTGGCCCTCTGCCTTCTGGCTCTATGGCCAGGGGCTTAGGGGCCTGGGGCTTTGGGCCTCTAAGGACACCTGGAAGCCCAGCCCTGAGTACGTCACATCAGGGAGGTCGTTTGCTGAAATGATTACATACTTCACAGTGTACACAAAGCTTGGAGCTCAGGCCTATCGCAAAAGGGCAGAGCATGAGGGCAACTTTTCCTGGACACAGTCCTGTCAACGGTTCTGCCCAGTCCCCAACCCCCACAAGCTGGCATTCACCCTCTCTCCTGTGGGCAATGCCCAGTTTGCCTACTGCAAACCCCAGTTTGCCCCAGCCTGCCTCCCGCCCGTGCCTGACTTGCTGCCAGTGCCAACTTCAAACTCGTCTCTCCGGTGGGGCTGACTCACGGCTTGACAATGGCCGAGAAAATCCTCCTCTGTGTTTGATTAATGAACCCAGTTTGCATGGGACATGGGGGCTGAATCTGGGGCTTCAGGAGGAGGAGGCAGCAAGGGGCCAGGAGCAGGAAGCTACAGAGACCCTACGCATTGGTTCTGCTCTAGGCGGGGGTCACATGCATGGTTTCTAAATGGAATCCCCTTGACACCTGCTGTGGTAGGTTACGACCATCCCCACATAATGGCTGAGAAAAATGAGACACAGAGAGGCCAGAGTCATCTGAAGCCAGGATTACAACCCATTTCTCTCTGATGGTTACATGAAACCACTCCACTGAGGAGCCGACAGGAGCTGTGAGGGGCCCAGGAGGAAGGCAGAACTCAGAGATGAGACAAGAGAAAAGGCAGAAGTTTTGGGCAAGAAAGCGTGGGGGCGGGGGGGGGGGGGCGACGCGGGGGGGCAGTAGGCACCAAGAGAGAGGCCAGGATGGTGCAGCAGGAGCTGAGAGGGCAGAGGAGGCGGGTATGAACTAGGGAGGGGGGTAGGGGCACATGCCAGCCTGGAGACTCATCTTCCTTGCCTTAGAGGGCTGCTGCCTTCCTGGTAAGGGTGTGCACTGGCCCACTCTGTGACACCCAATCTTGAGATGGGGTACGGTGGCCTGGTCTGGAGCCCACCCCAGGGTCCCTGTCCCACCCTCAGCCCCGTGAGCACTCACCGAGTTGATGGCCAGATTGCCCCGGGCATTGCGCGGCGCCAGCCCGTAGAGGATGGCCGCCCCAGCAATGGCGCCCACCAGCTGGGCCACCACGTAGAAGAGAGCCCGGAGCAGGGAGATCTGGTTGCCCACAAAGAGGGCCAGTGTGATGGCGGGGTTGATGTGGCCTCCGCTCACCGGCCCCAGAGCCTGGGCCAGGGTGCCTATGGCCAAGCCAAAAGCCATCGAGATTTGCAGGATGCTGGGCAGCGCCGACGGCCACTGGAGGGCTGAGCCGAGGCCGAAGAAGACGAAGATGAGAGTGGCCAGGAATTCGGCAAACACGGCCTTGAAGAAGGCCACGGAGCACACCTCCTTCTTCATGGTGGCCTCGGAGGCGGGGCAGCGGCGGCGGCCACAGCAGGGGGCGCCCGTCGGGGAGGCGGGGGCGCAGGGGGTGGCGGGCTGGCTCCCGGACGCTGGGCAGCACTCCCCGGCGTCCACTGCGTGGCTAGCGGCCTGGAACCGGCCCTGCAGGGGCGCGTTATATACCCGGCGCGCGCCTGGGAGCGGGGCGAGCGCGGGGGGGCAGTGGGCGGCTCCCGCGCCCGGGGGCCAGCGCGGCGCGCAGAGTGGAAACTTTGCCGTGGCCGCGGGCTCGCCGCAGTCCCCGGTCCCGCGTGCCCCCGGCCCGACGCCCGCCCCCCCGACGGAGCAGCAGCGGACCCGCCCGGGCCACGCCACCCAGGCGGGGGTGTAGACCGGCCCCGCGGCCGGGGACCCGCGCATGGTGGACTCTGCACTCTGGGCGGCTTCTGCGCTCTCCTCCGCGCTGCTTCTGAGCTCTCCTCCGCGCTGTGTGTCCCAGGCTCCCGAGGACGCTGGGCTGGGTCCGGGCTCTCCGGTCCTACCGACTTCTGGGCGTCTGCCTCCGCTGGCCCTTTATCTCCAGCCGTGGTCTTCCCCTTTTCTTCTCTTCGGGCCCGGGTCCAGCTCCTCCTTTTCCTCCTGCGACCCAAGCATCTTGACCTGGCGTCACCCACGGTGAGCTGGAGTGATGCGATTCCCTGAGGACAGAGCCACTCAGCTCCTCGACGGCCGGTGGCGGGGGCGGGCGGCCGGGCCGGGCCTCTCCCCTGCCCGGGCCAGGCAGCCTCCGGGTTTGGAGCGGGGGCGTTTTGGGAAAAGGAGCACCGTGCCAGCTTGCCTGGCGCTTGGTGATCCTCGACGCCCAGTAGCCGGGCAGTCCTGGGAGAAGGTGGCAGACCCCAGGAGGCGCCCTCTCCTCTGCAGCCGTCCCAGCCCCTCTAGGAACACAGCCCTCTGGGGGATGCCAGCAAGTTCCCGAAGGAGGTGGGAGCCAGGAGTTCACTTTGTCCATAGTATGAGAGGGGGCATACCCAGTTCCATCTTGCTTGGGGTCAGGGAAGAGGCCCTGGGACTGGGGCAGAGGATCAGAGTGGGGTCCGGGGAGGGTGCAGGCACACCACTGCCCTTCCACGCCCTCTCACCTCCCTGCCAAAAGCCCCCCACGCTGGCTCTCCGTTTTCCTTCTCCTGCTCCCTCTCTTCCCCCTTCTCCGTTCAGTCTGTGTCCTCTTCCTTCAGACTCCCTCTCAGTCTTGATTTCTCTCCCTCTTGCAATCTCTCTGCCTCTCCTCTTTCTCCTTGTCTCTTTCTCCAACCCCCCATCTCTGTTTTCCAGACGTTTTGTCTCTCTTCATCTCCCTGTCCTGTGCCCTCTGTCAGTCTCTTCCTTGCTCTCTCTCTCTCTCTCTCTCTCTCTCATTTCAGGCTCAGCTTGTCTCTTAGGCTCTCCCTCTCTCCCCTCTCTCTTTTTCAATTTCCCTGGTTTTTTCCCCTTCGTTCCTCTCACAGTCTTAGCCTTGGCCTCTCCATCTCAGTTTCTCTATTCACCTCTCAGTTTCTATCTCCTCTCTATTTCACCTTTCCTCTGCCTCAGTTTCTGTGACTTTGTTTCTCTCTGTCTCTGCCTCATTTTCCATGTCTACCTCTCTTACATCTGGGCTTTTTCAGTCCCTCTAAAGTGAAGTCCTCCCCCCCCGGGCTGGGTGACACTTTCTTCCAGTTCCCAACCCCCCCCC